GATTTGATTATGATGCCATCGGAACCCATACAGACAAGACAGTACAGTGTATAGGTATAGAACCAACCGTACGCATAAGCTATTGATGGATTATGCTCGTTTCGAACAATGGTTTCGCCATCTGCATACCATGCAATCTCCTCGCCTTGTCGAATTTCCCTCGGACTACTCCAAGCATAAGCGAAAAATCAGACTTAAAAATATTAATCGAGAAACGCCTTTATCAAGATGAAACAAAAAGAAATCGAAATGCACCTGAGTGGACGAAAACGAACTGTCACTGTAACATTTTCTTTGGATCTCTCCGCCTCCAACAGTGAATTTTCCGCGTAGAAGTGTTGTGGCTTACTCCTAGCCGATGAAGAAGCAGGCGAGCTCTGGCCATCAATGGATGTCTCTAGGAAATGTTTCGAAGAAGATGTAGTTGAAGATGAAGGAGAATTAGCAGGCTTCGAATTACTTGGCGGCAATTTTCTCGGTTTTGACCTCTGTCTAGTCGACATTATCGCCTCGAATCAATTCTTCTGCACACTGAAAAGAAAAACGAAATGGAAAATCGTTCAGACAGAAAGCTAAACCTATACGATTCTTCAAATTAATAGAAGCTAATATATACAGCAGACGCTTCGAAAATCTTGCCGTTGCTGAGCTGTATTCCTTTTCAGTAAAAAAATCTAAGTACTTCCGAATCCTCTAGCTCGAATTTCGTCATTTGCCACTATATATATAAGTGCTAAACTGTTTTAGGTAATCAACATTCTTTAGACGATTTTCCGTCCTCATTTTCAAAGCAGCCAAACAACAAGTCTTGGATCGAAATGAGAAACAATTGGCGGCGAAGGAGCCGCAAATGCAAATAGTCAAGGATACGCTGGGCTCTGTCTGGTTAAAAAACAGCGACTCCACTGGGCCGCACAGACTTCTCAAAACAGTCCACTCCCCAACGATAATATCAACTCAAAAAGAAGAGAAAATCTCAAATTCCAGTTTCCTTCCTTTTGAAGATTAGCTGAAAATTAGGAAAACACGGCACCTAAACAAACATCCACCTACATGACCGTAACGGACTTGTCAATAAAGCTCCGAATTCTACTTCGGTCCATTTTCCGGGCAACCAAACAGACAGTTTGCAACAAAAACAAAAAATCATAAAATTAGAAGATTACCTGAAAGAAATCAAACACATTGTTAGTAAAAACAGAGTAAAAAGCCAAAAAGAGAAAGAGATGAATCTTTTTCGAACTCGTAGAGTTCGTACTTCACAATCAAAACTAAACTAAAACAAAATTACAGATCCTGAGAGAAGAAGAGGCTGTGCAATGTAGCAAGTATCGAAGAACATAATTACCAGAAAAGATGATCGGAATCATCACTCATCAGTTCTTGGAGAAGGGGAAAAGGAGCGAGAGACAGAGAGAGAGAGAGAAAGTGAAAGTGTTTTTCTTCTCCTTTTGATTATCTCTAATTTAGCTTTTGTTGCTTGCTTTGGAAGCGATGCCCTCAGTCAAAGGTAAAACACTAAGCCCCCATTTCAATTCCTCACCATTTTAGATATTAAGAGAATACAATAAAGAACACTTATTTAAATTATTTGAAACTTAAAAAATAATATTAATTTATATATTTAATACGTAACTAACTTAACTTCACTTATTAATTCTATAATTATAAACTTTATATTATTATATACTAATTAAAAAATCACAAAAATACTTAATTTAAGTTATATATTAATTGATTTGAAATTATAATATTATTTTTATTTTTATTTTACTGTTTATATAAATTATTAAATGGTAATTAAAAATTCAAAATAAAAATACGAATGAGATCAAACATACACATTAGTACGAGCTAACATCATTCTACTATTTTCGTTTGTTATGACAAAATTTAATTTGGTCAATGTGACTAGATTAATAATTAATATATTAAATTATTTAATTTTTATTAAATTAAGTATTATAAATTAATTACTATTAATTATACTATATTTATAAAGTAGTGAATTTTATGTTATAATTTATTAAAATAATATTTAATTTTAAATTTAAATTTTGATGTTTATTTAATGTATTTAATTTTAAAAAAAATTGAATAAATTAAATTTGATAAATATTAATTATTTATTTATTCATTAAAATATATATATATAATTACAAATCGTAATTATAACATTCCTAATTCATTGAATCATGGTTGGTTCATGTCCCATACGTGCATATATAGAATATAATCACTTGCCCTAAATTATAATTGAATCAAACTTAATTATTATTTGCAATAATGCACGATATATATATATAAATATTTATGTTTGGTATTACTCTTTTTTCATGATTAATTTCTTGGTTTAGACTAAATGAAATTCGTATTAATTTTATTTAATAATTAATAATCATTAAAAAAATTGGAGTGAAATTCAAATTCAAATTATTAATTGTACAATCTTAGAAAATTATTTAATTATTTAATAAAAATTATTAAATCATCTAATGCAGATGGGAATTTTTAATTTTATTTAATAATTAATATAATTTTGGAACAAATTGAAGCAGAAATTAATTTTGAACTACTGATATTTAATTTTAAAAAAATATAAATATTTTTGTCCACGGTTAAAATGGATGCGCACGCTGGCTGTGATGCGGACGCATCGTGTCGGCTATATATGGATGATAATATGGGAACGGATACAGCTCCATAACATGGTTGACCAGTGACAAATATTCCTCCAATCAGAGCCGTCGGATCTGATCAAGAGACGTGACATCTTGAAAACGACCACCTAACGGCAATTACATACAGCGAGTCTATTCTAATTCTGTACACCTGCAAACACGCTAACCACAGATTTGTTAGACTCCAGTCCCCCTGCTGGCAGTATTTCCTTTATTATAATTCCATTATTTTTGTTTCTACATGTACTATTTTATTTTTCAAAAAATAAAATATATATATTTTAATTATTTTTCTATTATAATTATTTTAATTAAAAAATTTAATCATTACAAAATATTTTTTTTCTTAGCATACTCGTAATAATTTACTCCAACGAACGAATTTTAATTTGATCATATTAATATATTATATATTTAAGTTTTATAATCGTTAAATTAAAATTATAAATCTGTCACTATTAAATCATAATATGAATATAATATAATAATTTATATAATTTTAATTAAATTTGAATCTATAATCTAAAAAAAATATTATAATTTTATTCACTAGTTACTATTGTGTCGATAAAATATTTATTATTTTAATTTAAATAAAAATGTACGGGACAAAGTTATTCTATATAATTTAAAATTGAAAAATTATAAAATTTAAAAATGGTAAATAAAATAAAATTATGGAATTTTTAGGTCACCATCAAAAAATAGTGACAAATTTGCTATTTAACAAACTATATTTTTGTTTGTTTGTTTTTTTTTTTTTACGTGCAATGTGTAGTGTGCCGTGGCACATGCCCGATTGGAATGTAGTGCCATTATTGTACTAGAATGAAGTGACAATCAAGGATTCAAGATTAAGGGGGGTGACTTCTAATTTTATTTAATGGTGCAATAATTAATTAGTTTCATATAAATATAATGAAGTCACCATCATTAATTTGTCTTTATATATTGTTTGGTATTTGCTTATATTAAATTAGAGTGTATGTGTATATATATATATATATATATATATATTACCCATGTTTCTTAATTTTGAACCATAAGGTTAACGTATTGGTATTAAAATATATATATATATATATTTGACTTTAAAAAATGTAAAGGTATCATATAATGTGCCAAGTTCTAATTAAATAAAATTTTATTTGAGTTTAACTAAAAGTATAAATGATATTTTAAACTCGTATATGTTTAATCAAACTCGTTGAAATTTAATTCGATATAATTTTTTTTTAATAAAATATGAATTCAAGTCGGATTAAATTTAGATTAATAAGAAAAGATAAACATGTTATGGTGAATTTGAGTTTAACCTCTCAAAATTTGTTAAAACCCAATTTGTTATATATATTTTTTAATTTTTTATTACTATAAATATATAACTAATAGATGCTCTTATTGTAATACCAAATTAATTTTAAAATTTTATAAATATAATTTTTTAATTTTAATTTAATGTAAAAATGAAGGCAAATATGTGGAGGATAAAATTAAAAATAAATTTAAAAAAAATGAGTGAAAATTTGAGTTTTAGATGTATTTTTAAAAGAAAAATTAAAAAATAGATGGCAAAACGTAATTTAGAAAAGTTGTACAACGTAGGATGCCCAGTCAGTAGCCCTGACGAACCGGAGTGTGCTACGTGGCAACGGACGCTGACGCGATGCCATGCAGGAGGCCACGCTGACGATCTGCGCGTTCATGATCGAACAACCCAGATTCGCTTCCGCATGCACGGATGACCCGGATGCGTTTCCTCTCCAAACACGATCGGACGATCAGATTTAAATGCAATCAACGGTCTGGATCTACTTCCTATTTAAACGCGATCGGACGGTCCAAATTCACTCCCTATTTAATCGCGATCGGACGGTTCAGATCAAACACAATGAATAGTTCATATTAAAAGAGAATAAATATAAATAACTCTTTTCACACCAAACCCTAACCCTAGCCACCAAACATCCTCACCGGAGAGGAAGACCTAGCCGCCGTGCCGGAGCTACTTCTGACCGCCAAAAGAGGTAAAAAAAAATTTTTGCTTGGAATTCAATTTAAACACCCCCATGGTCAAATTGGAGCAAAAAGACCAGCGGATTGGCCGAAATCGCGGGCAAAGCCCGGCGACAGTGCCGTGAAAAATTACAAAAACCACATCCGATGAGGCTCTTCCCAATTTTCGTTCTGCGTAATTCTTTCACAATTGTAATCACTATTTTATTCTCTATAGGTTGATCGAAACAAAACACCAATCGCAAATGTGCGCCGACGCACCGGAGAACCCCGCCACCAGTGAGTTTCGATTTTTCATTTTTTTTATCAACCAAGCCCCTTTAACGTGTTTTCTCCCATATATTGATGCAAAACTAGCCGAAAACAGCCGACTCGAGGTAAACTACCACCGCAGGCGGCAGCGTCGTTGCCGGAGCATGGCAGAGTCGCCGTGCCAGAATTCTGAAATTGGCTAAAAAGGGGTCCTGACACTGATTTTGGATTTTTTAGAATATTTGTAGGTACTTGTAGCGTGTTTTAATCCCTAAAGACAAATTTTAAAAACCCGAGGATCGGTAGTAGGTGCAGTCAACAAGTTTAGTATTTCGAGTATCAATTTCAATAAGAATCTATCACCTTCTTCACTGTTATGGAATTAAAGTCAAATTAACAATAATACGGTATTTTGTGCAATTTAAAAAATATTCATAATTAATTACGAGTTACTAATGGAGTCAGAATTGAAAATTATTCACTGTTGATTCTGTTGATTTATTTTACAATTTGAATGAATGATAATATCTGATTGATCGATTTTATAGTTTTTGAATGCATGTATTATTTTGTTTTATGTTATTATGGTTAAATTGGAAAACTGGAGATTTAAAGGTAAACGAAAAATTGTGTGATTAAGTGAATGGATGAAACGACAGTCTTACTGGATATCCTGGGAGATGGTAGACGGAACAGGTACATAGGGAACCTTACCGTAAACGTTGCCTCATATGTGACGGGGTATCGAGACTTGGTAATTTGATACTCATACCGAACGAGGTATTGGGATGACCCGTTTTACCCTCATACCGGACGGGGTATTGAGGTTAGTAATTTGGATCCCATACCGGACAGGGTATGAGAATAGCCCGTTAATTAGAAATGTTAATGGAAATAGTTCACGCATTATGGGGACATCCCTTATGAACCCTCATTGATACTA